AGTAAGTGTTGCTACATCTGTTTATTTGCATGTCACAGTCAAGTTAAGTCATCACAATTTGCTGATGACGTGGCTATCTGGAAGAGTTCAAATACACCCTCAATAGCAGCAAATAATTTACAACCAGTTCTAAATCAAATTGTAGAATATTGTCAAATACACAGAATCAAATTCACATACCAAAAACAAATGTAATATTATTTTCAAAATCTCTGAAATTACGCAGAAACCACCCGAAGTTATATCTAAACGGAGCTCTTCTAGATACCAGTCCATCAGCAAAATTTTGAGGCCTAGCGTATGATTCCAAATTAAATTGGGAAAAACACATATCAGAAATTACACAAAAAGTGTGGCAACGAACAAACTATCATAAAACTATTTGTGATCTTGCATGACCAAATAACTTTCAACCTGGGATCGGTACGTGGGATCAACCTCGTAACCATTTTGTGCTTGTTATAGTTTCCATGCTATAGCTTTTAAATTAGTAAGCGAATGTTAACAAAATTTGGCAAACTATCAGTAAACATTACAATGCTTTCACACGCAAAATATCTAATTTTTAAATTAAGTCTTAAGGTTTTTAAAGCAATGTTTCTCTCATGCCTTTTTTTTCCTTTTCAGATCTTGCCTATCTATTATGCAAAGTAATTTTCATCTTAACATTAAAAATATTTTTATGCATCAGAAAATTTCGAAATTTCACATGCAAAATGTCCAAATAGTTATCAAACGTTTCTTAAGAAAATACTTTATATTTTATATGTTATTATCTGTAATTAATCTCTGTATGGGTCGGTAGATTTGACCGATCTCGCAAACACCATAAAAAATTAGGAAATACTTATAAATTATGCCTCTTTCATTCTAGAATGAACACACATTATAACACGAAAACATAAATGTTTAGAGGAAATAGCTTAAATGTCATAAGGTTACACACACACACACACACACATATCTATATATATATATATATATATTGACCTTTCACACGTGCCTGGCTAACATTGTAAGAATACAGAAGTTACAACACGCGGCTCACGTGCACTCATGTTACGGTATCAAATAACATAAAGGTGACGTTTGGTCTGTACAAAGTAACTTGGTTGTGTTTTAGTCGACTAGTATTTTTGTAAAATACAGTCACATTTCAATTATTATACATTATATATGTATATAGATTACTGCTATTTTAAACTAAGTTCTTAAAGTTATTTTTCATAAAACTTAGAACAGTAAATAAAGAAGTAAAGCAAACAATTTTCTCTTCTAGTTACGATGTTTGTAATCGGTTGCTGCTTGACGTAGGTTGCTAAGCCTTTAAAAATTTTGCATGTGGAGGATATGAAACAAAATATTTTTTAGGTTTTATATATACATTTGAATAACTAAAAAATCATAAATTACTACATCAATGCCACAGAATTCAACTATAATTTATCAAACTTAGTAACTAACATGTATTTTACTCTTAAAAAATATTGTTACGTCTCCGTTCGTTAGTTAATTTTCC